TACTTCAAAGGAACTTTGTTAATTGTTGAAGCCAGCATTCAATATTTAAAATTGAAATTGAATATTGTGAAATAGAAAGTGCCATGCTCTTTTTATTGGATGCTCTTCTTCCTTAAAATAATATTATAGATGTCAAAATGTACATTCAAATTTATGAATATTAATGCTGTTTAAAATGAACTATGAGAATTTTAGGTATATAAAATTAAAAATTGAAACGTTACAAACCTTCAATAACTTTTATTTTATGATAATAAAGACATTTTCAATATGGGTGAAATTGTAACATAAAGTTATACCTATAATTTAAAAAAAAATTCTACTATTCATGTTGTGATTACTTTGAATGATACAACTCTTTCCACTGAACATCTTTGAAGTTGAATAAATTTTATCCACTTTGAGTATCTAAAGTAAATATTATAAAATTGAAGTCATTCCTAAGTACTCTTTGAACATACCTGAATGTTCTAAACATTACTGACACTCTATAATTAGCTCCAAACCCAGTCTCTTACATTTGCCAGGATGTTGAATAAACTTATCTATTTTGAAATAAAAATAATACATTGAAAATATTACATATGAAGAATATTTAATAGTAACATCTTACATAAAAACTTGATTATTTTTTCTATCTAATCAAAGAGCCTAATTAGACAATTTTTATCTTGTATTGATAATTTTGATCTTGCTCAATACTTATTTTATAAAGAGTTAATGGGCTGGTCAAAAAATTAAACTTCTCTTTTAATAAAATCTGCATTTCTATTTTTTTTTATAAAAACAAAAATGTTTTCTATGAACTGTAGATCATGTTTGGACTTATGGATGACTGTACATTGTTGGAATATATCTTCAAACTACACTCTTAAACATCAAAAATTAACTTCACCTTTTAAAAAGTTCTTCCTTTTTATAAAAATTAATTAGAATTATTTATTCATTACTAAAAAAATTACAAAGGGGAAGTTTCCATTTGCTGACTTACTTGTGTACTATCTTGTGATAAGTACATATACCTTTCAATAATGTAGTTTATGGAAACATATCTAATAAATAATTAAAATATTCCTTCATACATATAAGGAAGATTCAAGAAGAACAAGAAAGGTCTGCTTAGCATACAATAGATAATAAAACACAGTCCTTCTTATCCCATAGCAAAAAAATTAAATTTCTTAGATTATACACTGGAAAATCAGTTATGTCAACTATTCAGTATAACTGCCATCACCAACAAACCATTACAAAACCACATGCGCTCTAACATCTGCAACTACATGATATTTATTTTCAGAGAGAATTGACAGTACATTCAGTACAGTTAATGTACAGTTAATACAAACACAATTCAAAGTAGATAAAGGTAAAAATATTTGTTAAATATAGACTAGTATGTCAGCTCTCAATCCAAAAAAACAAAAATTGTGTTTTAGCATTTTTCTCTAGATCTAATGTGGTACATTATATTCCTTTCTCAACCCCATATATTTAAAATGAATTCAATGTTTCTAGCATTAGTCACTATTTGAAATCCATCTGGTAGTGTTTAAATGGGTGTTGAAAAAGAAATTGCTTCTTGCTTATTTTTAAGATCTGAATTTTGAAAATATGCATACATCTCATTTTATAAATGTTTATTAAAAATTAAGTTCTGATGTATTATTAAATATTGGTAGTGTATAAATGTAGAATATTGGTAGTGTATAAAAGCAGTTGAGAAACCTGTAAGTTAGAAATAATAATAATAATAACAACAACAATAATAATAGCAGAAATAATAGAAAAAATACATTCAATAAGCCAAGAGCATCTTAATCACAATATATATTCACTGTATCACTCGGAATATAACCACTCCCTTGCCCTTGTTGGAATAATGCAAATTCGCAGCTTGCAACTCTGCTCCTAACAAGGAAAGAATTGTCATATATTTTTCAATCAAATTTCATTGGTAGCCATATTCCTGTCAATTAGAAACATCTGAGGCTCCTGAAATAAGAAAACCGAGGGAACGCTGTCATAATCAGAGTAAGCCTGAGTATTTATTATTATTGCAATCTATTCTTCACTCTTCTTTTATATTTTTTCAATATGTACCAAATGATTATTCCAAATATAGCGTAGTTCAGAATAAGTATGTTTTATTAGTAGCATTTCTGCAAAATATCTCAAGGCAGTGTTTTAATATTCACATATTTCTCCACAGTAATCTGTTATAATGCTTCCTTCCATTTTCTTGTTGCTACTTTGTGATTGAAACTGGTACTACGATGACTCTGTTAATATCTTTTACATTGGCCCCATTCCAACTCAATAGGAGTAGAGTTAAATATCGTAGATTTATCAATTGCTACCAAAAGAAAGCGAAGTCACGGTAGCCCAGTTGTAGGGCGCTGGACACCTGACTCTGAAGGGCCTAGGTTCGGATTCCAACCTAGGTTGGGTTCTCTTCTCTAGTGATTTCTATTCAGGGCTTCTCTAAGTTTGACTCAGCATCACATTACGTTAACCGTAGATTTTGAAATAAGGTCATCTACAATTTTTCAAAAATGTTAATATTTGTCGTGAAATTTTGCGTGAAATATAGGTGATTTTAACATTTTTTTTTTTCTTGAAAACAGCTCCATCATTTTGATAAAAATTTATTGATGGTTTGCCTGAAGAACATTTATAAAAATGGTGCATGTCTCGTGTTGGTTGAAGACCCTGATTTTTCGACAGTTGAAAAAATTCAAAATGTTTTCGGCGTCTTCCTACAACTACAATTATGAAGATACATTGTTCCTTAATAAAACGTGTTCATCAAAAAAAGATTTTTAAATAAGGTCAGGTTGAATTTTTCGAAACTGTGAGTAGTTTTGGAGTAATTGAGCGTGAAATTAGGCGCCCGCTCTGAAAATCCTGCACTTCTGGATAGTAATTTTAGATGTTTTATAAAGTAATTTGTAAAAGTAGTAAGTAATTTTAGATACATTGGAGCTTTTGGTTTACGTTTACAAATCATTTAAAAGTTATTTAAAACTATTTGAAATAAATATAAAATAAAGATAGCTAGCCTTCAGTCGCCCGCTCCCAATTTACGCAGTTGGATGTTACGTAAGTTAGATATTGTACATCATTTCATATTTCAATTTATTATTATTTATATTATATTTATTTTATTTCATTTTAAATTACGTCCTTTAATTGTGTTAAATGTAAAAATGAACGGTCATTGTTGGATGTTGTTACCTGTTGTTGTAAAGCCACATATAACAGACGCCGATAATGACGGCTGCTTTTCGTGTGCAGTAATAAAAAAAAATACTTTTATATATTTGTGAAATATTACAATACCATAGCGTTTAATAATTACTATTATTATAGTTTTGCGATCAGTATAGTCTGATTTATTTACTTTTAATTATTTTACTTTCTGGCATTCCGCTTATTTTTGCACCAAATATTCTACGATTTCAAGTGAGTTTTTTACAACTAATAATTCGGCGAGAAATTGTGGTATATTTTTAGAAACGCTCAAGCTCCATTTTTTCAAAATCGGCTCCGGATTATTCTTCAAACTTTTCGAACGGATATTGCTAATTGTACTATTTAATATCACATAAACTGCATTTCGGTGTATTTTTTGTTTTCTTTCAAAAATTACACAAATGTATTTTTTTTTTTTTTTTTGTTGTTGAAAGATCACTCACGCTGTTGAAATGCACATTTCCAGCAATTTATAAACACAATTGTATTTATGAGTTAAAGAACTTCAAATGACTTCAAATTAAGGTTTTTAAAAATCCAAACATTTTCGGTAAAAAAGAGCTTTAAATTTCGAATATACAGTAGCGCTTAAATATCAGTTATTAAAAAATTACTTCAAATTTTTCAAAGAAAATTGACATTAGTTTGAAGTTTGACTGTTATTTATTAATCTTAAAATAACATTTCTACTCTGCAATTAAGAAACCGAAAGATTAGGAAAATGTCAAAAACATGACCTTTGGGCAGCGACGAATGGCAGCAGGCATGTACATGTGACAAGTTCGAATAGCTAACCCAGACGAAAGGAAATAGAAAACTAATACGGGAAAGTCTCTGCCATTCTGTAGCACCACAATATTAGTATCTGTTTTTATGTACACTGAAACAGAGGGCGTGTTTTAAATTTAATGTACCTTGGCGCAACATTTTCTCTTGTATAGTATTACGTGGGATTCCAAGGGCCAGAAATATTTTTCTCATTTAAGTCAGTCTCGTATCTCGTTACTTATTGATGTTCAAGATGTTATCGTTGCACTATTTAGAAAATTTAATGTTATACTTCTACAACTCTTCGTTTGTAAACCATGTTGTGCTTTATTACAATTTATTATATCATGTTAATCGGAAGTAAAAATCCATACTTCGGTAAATTAATGACTCAAAAAGTTACGCCGTAACTATTAAATCTATACATTGTCCAAAAGATATTAAACAAAAGGTATTAACGTAATGACTCGCGTGATTTTTCTAGACGAGAATGAGAACTAGAGTTCATCGCTTTCTGGAATCGACAGCCCCACCACAGATGGGGAAATTGATAGGGAAATTTACCACATTTTTACTTTTAAGACAGAAGCATAGAAAGCATAAAAGCATGAAGGTTGGATAATGCTTTATGCAATCGAACTAAACTACCCATAACGTAATCGAAAATTAATGCTCTATTATTAGCAAGACTTTTCTCTAAAGTTACAAACTTTCCGACTCTTTCATTATATTCGAACTTCCTGAAGTACAGTAATCAAATAGCAATAAATGTATTGATTAGGAGTACTAAGGGATAATTAAGTATGGTAAAAACCTAAAACAAATGCGAGTGATCTTGCTTTTACTAACTCGAAAAGACTTTGTTGGAATCACATAATCTGATAACTTAATGGGACGAACAATAAAGATAAAGAAGATTATTTGATTTTCAAAATTACATTGCTTTCTATATATACAACGTGTAATAGAAAGCCACCATGTTGAGTTTCAGCGACAAAATGTTGCGTGACTTTATCGCTGGATACCTCGAGAAGTCCACACTGCACGGTCTGAGATTCATAGTGCAGAAAAAATGTCACTGGACGGAAAGGTAATGTCCATATTATCAGGTTTTCATCATCACCACATTGGATGTCCCAGAAGTGGCGAAAAAAACACCGGTATCATAAACTAAGTGTTCCAAACTTTCTTTCTTTCCACTTTTTTAAGAAACCCCGATACCAGGAAGTAGATTGAATTGACTGATTAGTGATTCCGGGCGCGTCAAATACTAAGGTCATTCGTCCAGTAAGAGTAGTGCATGTTTTTTTATCGCGGGAGGTGGCGGTGACCTTACCCCGTTATTTGTTGAGATACGGCGCCGTCCTACGAAGAACCCCCCACCAGCGTCTCAACACCTTAGCGGGGACAAACTGTAAGTTCACGGTTGGTTTCCCGACATGAGTGCTAGTGTCACTCGTTCTTTGTTTTCATTCACCAATCTCACGACCCCTGAATCGATTCGGCACGATAAGGATTAAGACCCGTAAAAACTTACCATCAATGCTGGGAGAGTTTCGGGTGCCAAACAGAAAAATCCCAGCAGCCTCATGCATATCGGAGCAATCTCGGTGTACCCGGAAATTACAATAAACAAAGCAACAGGGTTTCGAAATGCTCATGACCGGCTGCGCAGCTAAGCCAACATTATGTTCGACAGTATAGACTCTGACGGGGAAGTCCTGGGGCTCGATTCCCAACCGTGACAGGATTTTCGTCACTGAGTAAAGATCTAGGTCGAATTCAGCCGCTGTCTGGAAGCGAATTATTGCGGCCGGCTGGTCTGAATTCTATTGTCCGATTTTCCGTACTTTCTCCGATAAATACCAGGCAAATGCCGGAGCAGTCTAATCTTTCTTCTCCTTGTCCTACCCTCTTCCCTTACCCGCTCGCATAAACACACACACTCTCTCTCTCTCTCTCTCTCTCTCTCTCTCTCTCTCTCTCTCTCTTTCTCTCTTTCTCTCTCTCTCTCCCCCCTCATACACGCACACGTGAACTACATTACCACACATGTAGTGATACCACTCTTTTGGAGCTCGTCGGTTGATCTGACCTGAGGCGGTGCCTCGCAAGGAGGGAACATAAAATGACATGGTGCAGGTTATGATTTATTTGCTGTTTATGACACGAATGATTACGTCACATATTCAGCCATTCGCGAGATTCATGGGGAGGTAGCGGTAAACCGAACAGCCGCCCACTGGTTTCAGCACACAAGTCATATACCTGGGACGTTACAAGAACGTTCTTTCCAAATATTAACTTCCATTCTCTTCTAAATGTATAATTCAGTTATGCAAAAAAGCATATGTACCCCGTTTATAATGTTGATTTATTGCATTTGTACAAATTTGAAACACGCTAATAACGTTGCTCGTTTTCAAATAATGTAATTACGCAATACAGCTTTAAATTATTAACTGGTTGTACAACCTACTGTTACAATACTAGAATAATAAGACAGCTGCTGTCTTGAGGAGAATTCTAGCGGCCGGCTGCTCTGATCAGTAGTTTTCCAAGGTTTCTTCCATCAACATTTGGCGAATGACGGAGCAGTACCCTAAAAACGGGCTACGGACCGCGCGAGAACTTTCCTTCCTCTTCCTTGTCCTGTCCTCACCCATTTCTAACAAGCACACATACACTTACACGAACCACTCTACCACACTTGGGAGGAGACCAGTCGGGAACTTAGAGCTTGACCCGACTGGGGCGGTGCCCTGCAGGCGGGAGATACCTGATTAGGGAAACCCCCATTAGCCTACGTAGGTCGGCGCCGAATTTCGCCAGCCCAGTGGGGGAATATCATTGCCCTCTCTCGAGATGGTAACGCGCACTACAGTTACGGAACTAATGAATTCATAGCAGTAAACGCGCCGGGAATCTCTACTCAATCAGCCTATAGAGTATTTGGAGTTGGTGATTCATTGCTGGGAATGAATGGCTGGTAGGGCGGTGTGGGTGGCGTGCTGCCTGGCGGCGTGGGCGGGCGCTGGCGCGCTGGTGGCGGCCGCGTGGGAGGCCTATCGCCTGCACCCCATCAGCTTCGGCGTCAGCACCGCCTACCTGCGCTGGGACACCGCCTTCCCCGCCGTCACCGTCTGCGAGCGCAACAACCGACCGCGCGCATACGCCTACAGCGAGAGGTGAGCGGCGCTTCAACGCACAAACGCTGCTACTCTGCACTCGATGGTTTTCTGAAACATCGCAGGCGAACTGCTCAAGAACAAGAAATAAAATTGAAGTCGTAGGCTTCCGCGTCCAGAGTCATGTGCGTGATCTGGGCTGCCCGGGTGACGCCGTGTCGATGGCTGTCTGGCCGACGTATTGACCATCTTATCGTAGTCTTCCTCAGGAAACCAGCCCTAAAGGAAGACCACGACAGGATGATCGAAACGTCGGCAACACAGCTTTCGACGTGGCGTCACCCGGACAGCCCAGATTACGCACAATAAATAAAATTCTAACGGCGATAAATTAGTGTGGGTGCTCCAGCCAGGGCATCAGCTATGGCCGTGTTAAAAAAAACTGTCCTCAACACCTTTGGTAACATTTTTTATCAAGTGGAGGATTTAAAGTTAACTTTAACTCCAGCACTAAATTAAACTGCCATAAAATTATCACTTCAGCAGGAAAATTTCTAAACCTTTGTAATTCCCTTCTGCACTTGTTTGGAAGAATGGTGAAACATTTACGACGTGAAATTAACACATATTTTTGTTTTGTCGGCCGGCCGGCCACTAGCGTTGCTCTCCATGCAGCGGGTGAATTCGATCCAGCTTTGTAGTAGTGCCTTTGCATTCGAGCATTTTAGTCGACTAAGCTTGCTGCAGCAAAGATTTCTCCATTTGGCCGCTGTATATAATAGAGGTGCGAGGAGAACATACTCACTCGGGCGTCAATGAGCTTGAATTCATTCGAGTGTTAGATACTCGGTCAGGTCTGCTCTACTCGTAATAAGCTGGAAGTGCATCTTGGCGAACAGTGATGGAGAATAAAAAGAAAAATATGGTACAAAACCAAATCCACAGCAGTGAATGCAAGCTGTGAATGCATGCAACAGTGAATGCATGCAAATATTGTAACGTTAATTGCATGCATCTACATACTACTATGTTTGCCATCATTATTCTTTGATTTTTACACCTTTCAGTATTTGAGGAAGCAGTGAGCGCGACACTAATTGTGAATTGGTTTCTGTCACAATTAAAAAACCGATTCCCGTATAACTACATATTTTCTATGCTACCTTGAAATTAGATGAAACCTTGAAAGAACTTAGAATCATAAGACGGACGTTATTTCAGAACTTGTTTTATTTTGCACGTGACAAAGCACGAGCTTCCACCAATACTAAACGTCTTCATCTGATAAATAAAATGCCGGAGGCTCGAGCCCACCAGGGGCGCTTTGTCACGTAAAAAACGAGATAGCCAGAACCGTCAGCCTCCGTGTTAACCGAAAGGTTGGTGGTTCGAGCCCACCCGGGGGCGCATAATACTGATAGCATGTCATAGTATATGGCGTTCGGCTGTTAACGGGCGAATGTTGGTGGTTCGAGGCCCACCCGGGGGACGATACATACTTTTTAAGCATGTCTAGTATGTATTGGGGCGAAATCACGGGCGAGGAACGGTAACCGCGAAGCGGCCTCCGTGGCGCAATCGCTAGCAGCGTTCGGCTGTTAAGCCCGAAGGTTGGTGGTTCGAGACGTCACACCGGGGG